CACACACACACACTAACAGTGCAGCGTTGAAGGATGACGATGTGGCAGGTAAAACACACACACACACACACTGAAGCTGTCCAACTCGCTGTACTCCTGAAGTTTGACCAGAGAGCAGCACAAAGCCACTCTGTGTCTGAACTCTTCTTTAACAATCTCCTCCTCCTCCCTCGTCCTCCTCCCTCCTCCTCCTCCCTCCTCCTCGTCCTCCTCCTCCTTCTCCTCCTCCTTCTCCCTCCTCCTCTTCCTCCTCCTCCCTCCTCCTCCCTCCTCCTCCTCCTCCTCCCTCGTCCTCCTCCCTCCTCCTCCCTCCCCTCCCTCCTCCCCCTCCTCCTCCTCCTCCTCCTCCTCCTCCTCCCTCGTCCTCCTCCCTCCTCCCTCCTCCTCGTCCTCCTCCTCCTTCTCCTCCTCCTTCTCCCTCCCTCCTCCCTGCTCCTCCCCCTCCTCCTCCTCCTCCCTCCTCCTCCCTCCTCTTCCCTCCTCCTCCTCCTCCTCCCTCCTCCTCGTCCTCCTCCTCCTTCTCCTCCTCCTCCTTCTCCCTCCCTCCTCCCTGCTCCTCCCTCCTCCCCCTCCTCCCTCCTCCTCCTCGTCCTCCTCCTCCCTCCTCCTCCCTCCCCCTCCCTCCTCCTCCCTCCTCCTCCTCCTCCCTCCTCCCCCCTCCTCCTCCTCCTCCCTCCTCCCCCCTCCTCCTCCTCCCCTCTCTCTCTGGACCAGAGATGCCTTCAGTCTGTGCTGAGTGCGTGTGGTCAGTGTGGACGCGGGGGCTCAGTGGTTGATGTGGTTTGGCAGCAGGTGGCAGCACAGTTTGTGACTTGAACTCTAAACTTCAAGCGTTTTCCTCTAAACTCTCGTTTCTGCGTCACGTGACTCGTGTGTCTGCTGAAGCGAGCCTCTGTGTTCAACGGGCTGCATTCCACGCCGGCTCAGATTCAACATGAGAGGCGTCTGCGTGCTTGAGCTGTGGTTTCAGGGGTCAAAGGTCAGATGGCAGTGGAGGATGCTCAAACTGGAGGTAAGAGCTCTGGGAGAGGCTGAACACAGCAAGACAGAAGAACTGGTTCCAAGCTGGAGGAACGCTGCATGTGAGCTCTTTAAGCTGCAGAACATTAGCTCCACGATGAGAGGCTGAATGTTCTGGGAGGTTCTGGGAGGACGTGCCCCCCTCCCCCTGCCAAAGGATGAATCCCGCCTCCTAAAGGGGGAGCGTCACAGACCAAGCTGCTCTGTTTGTTTCAGCTGCTCAGAGCTTTGCTCTGTTCCTTTTTACACAGAGAAAGGACAAAAGTGAGGCAGAACACAAATGATGAAGTGAAGGGAACTCACAAAATCATCTTCTCTTGGCAGTAGGGGTGTTTGGGTTTGATCTCCAGCTTCTGAACATCCTTGTATCTGATCTTTGGTCCTTTCCTGGTGCACCTGCACTTGTAGGCTGCCAAAGAGAAAAACACAAACTGTAGCTCGCATGTTCCTGACGTGCGATTCTTCACGACAGAAAACATGAACATGAAGCAGAAGAAACGAGGAGTCAAAGGAGTAAAGGTTGTTCTTTAACTGCACGTCTGTCTTTTCTGCTCCATCACGTCCAGAGTTACTTTGGATTTCATAAAAGTAGTCAGATGTTCAAAGATTCTTTTCCTACATGTAAACATTCAGCTGGTCACTTTTCTTCCTCGTGACTCTTCATCAGCACGTGAAACACACCATGAACTTTGTGTAAAGAAACATTTCTGCCCCCGCGCCTCAACGAAGCACAGATTTTCCTGCTCTGTAGGTCTGTGGCGGCCCGGATCGTCCTGGTCCCTCAGTCCATCACCTGCTCTCTGTGCCCGCCTCCAAACACTGAACCTGTGAGAGACAAGCTCCGAGGACAAACAGGACAACAAACGAGGCCTTGAGCTGCAGCTTCATGCTGGTCTCCAGAGGACGTCCTGTCTGCGTTCAGTGTGGAGCTCACTGAGAGTCTTCTACACCGACGGAGTCAGACACGAGGCTCCTCAACTCAAGGAGTGTTCACAAATGAGGAACGAGTCCGTTCCTCCAGTTTCCTGCACGAGTTCATCCAGAGGGTTGATCAGCTTGGTGTGTGTGTGTGTGTGTGTGTGTGTGTGTGTGTGTGTGGGGGGGGGGGGGGGGGTCAGAGACCAAGAGACCCAGGTGGGTTCATCTAACCAGGTTGAGTCTAAAGAACCTGTCCAGGGGACTCAGCCTGGTTAGACTCATGGAGCAGCAGCAGGAGGAGGACAGGTGGAGCAGCGTTCACACAGAAACTGATTCATGAAGAACATCCATCAAATAACTTCTCCTCTGATTTACCTCTGAACAGCTGCAGCCCAACTATTATTATCATTATTAATATTATTATTATTACTATATCATTATTATCACTATTATTTTCATCATCATCATCATCATTATTATCATTATTATTATTTTTTTTTTCATTTAGCCTTTATTTATCCAGGTTAGTCTCATTGAGCCACGAGAACTCATTTTCAACTTTTTCAACATTTTCAACTATTATAACTATTATTATTATATCATTATCATTACCATTATTATCATCATCATCATCATTATTATCATTATTATTATAACTATTATTATTATATCATTATCATTACCATTATTATCATTATCATCATCATTATTATTATTATCATTATTATTATCATTATAACTATTATAATAACTATTATTATATCATTATCATTACCATTATTATCATTATCATCATTATTATTAATAATAAAATAATAATAATATTACTAATATATCATTATCATCATCATCATCATTATTATTATCATTATCATTATTATTATAACTATTATAATAATTATTATTATATCATTATCATTACCATTATTATCATTATCATCATCATTATTATAATGATAATAATAATAAAAATTATAATATTACTAATATATCATTATCATCCTCCTCATCATTATTATTATCATCATCATTATTATTATAATTATTATCATTATTATTATCACAATAATAATAATGATAATAATTATAATAATAATGATGATGATAAGAATGATATATTAGGAATAGTATTATCATTATTATTATCACAATAATAATAATACTATTCCTAATATATCATTCTTATCATCATCATTATTATCATCATCATCATTCTTATCATCATCATCATTCTTATCATCATCATCATTATTATTATCATCATCATTCTTATCATCATCATCATCATTCTTATCATCATCATCATTATTATTATCATCATCATTCTTATGATTATTCTGAATCAGTGAGTTGAGTGTAAAACTTGAGCACGTCACCAGAAGCAGGCTGCGCGTGAGGAATGAAAGCTTTGAAGTTACCTTGTGCGCTCAGGAGCCACACGGACACCAGGAGCAGGAGCAGAACCGCTCGGAACCGCCTCATGGTTTGGGTCAACACGAAGCTTTTAGTTCTTTCTTCAGTGAACTTCTTTCAGCTGTGGTTCCGAAAGGCGGTTCTGGGTGCGAACAGGGTCCTGCAGAACCGGAGGTCCGCTCCTTGGATCGCTACAGCCTGAGCCGGTTCGGTCGTTGTGTCTCCTGGTGGTGTGAAGAGGAAACATCCGGGTTTTAAACCCCCCCTCATTAAAATGCAGGGCCAGGCAGCGAATCAAAGAGTCTGTGGGCTGAGAGGGAGGGGGCACCCTGCAAACATGTCTCCTACATCAGCCTGCTTCTGGTTCTGCTTGGTCCGGATGAAACCTTCCCCTGACATGAAGCAAAAACGACCTGCTCACATATTTTAATGACTGGGGGGGGGGGGGGGGGGGGTGTCTGTGTCCAACACAGTCTAAAGAACTGACAACATTTGGCCCATTCGCAGCAACAAAGATGTTTCAGTCTGCTGCTGGAAACATCTGGTTGCTGTCTGTGTCACATACAGCTGTGGAAAACTTAGCTCAGGCTGGCAGCAAACAAACAAACAAACAAACAAACAAACAAACAAACAAACAAACAAACAGCTGAGCTGTGAAAACGTCACATCTCCATGGCAACAATTTGCTGTTTAGTAACCTTGTGGTGTGGTTTGATGGACTCATGATGGAGTCATGATGGAGTCCTAATTGAGTCCTGATGGAGTCATGATGGAGTCATGATGGAGTCATGATGGAGTCCTGATTGAGTCCTGATGGAGTCCTGATGGAGTCTTGATGGAGTCCTGATTGAGTCCTGATGGAGTCCTGATGGAGTCTTGATGGAGTCCTGATGGACTCATGATGGAGTCCTGATTGAGTCCTGATGGAGTCATGATGGAGTCCTGGTTGAGTCCTGATGGGGTCCTGATGGAGTCATGATGGAGTCCTGATGGAGTCATGATGGAGTCCTGATTGAGTCCTGATGGAGTCTTGATGGAGTCCTATGGACTCATGATGGAGTCATGATGGAGTCCTGATTGAGTCATGATGGAGTCCTGATGGAGTCCTGATGGAGTCATGATGGAGTCCTGATTGAGTCCTGATGGAGTCCTGATGGAGTCATGATGGAGTCATGATGGAGTCCTGAGGGAGTCTTGATGGAGTCCTGATGGAGTCTTGATGGAGTCCTGATTGAGTCCTGATGGAGTCCTGATGGACTCATGATGGAGTCATGATGGAGTCCTAATTGAGTCCTGATGGAGTCATAATGGAGTCATGATGGAGTCATGATGGAGTCCTGATGGAGTCTTGATGGAGTCCTGATGGACTCATGATGGAGTCCTGATTGAGTCCTGATGGAGTCATGATGGAGTCCTGGTTGAGTCCTGATGGAGTCCTGATGGAGTCCTGATTGAGTCCTGATGGAGTCCTGATGGAGTCTTGATGGAGTCCTATGGACTCATGATTGAGTCATGATGGAGTCATGATGGAGTCCTGATTGAGTCCTGATGGAGTCCTGATGGAGTCCTGATGGAGTCATGATGGAGTCCTGATTGAGTCCTGATGGAGTCCTGATGGAGTCCTGATGGCATCTTGATTGAGTCCTGATGGAGTCATGATGGACTCATGATGGAGTCATGATGGAGTCATGATGGAGTCCTGATTGAGTCCTGATGGAGTCTTGAAGGAGTCATGATGGACTCATGATGGAGTCATGATGGAGTCCTGATGGAGTCATGATGGAGTCCTGATTGAGTCCTGATGGAGTCCTGATGGAGTCTTGATGGAGTCCTGATGGAATCATGATGGAGTCATGATGGAGTCCTGATTGAGTCATGATGGAGTCCTGATTGAGTCCTGATGGAGTCCTGATGGAGTCCTGATGGAGTCCTGATCGAGTCATGATGGAGTCCTGATTGAGTCCTGATGGAGTTCTGATGGCGTCTTGATTGAGTCCTGATGGAGTCATGATGGACTCATGATGAGTCCTGATGGAGTCCTGATGGACTCATGATGGAGTCCTGATGGAGTCATGATGGAGTCCTGATGGAGTCCTGATGGAATCTTGATGTAGTCATGATGGAGTCCTGATTGAGACCTGATGGAGTCCTGATGGAGTCATGATGGACTCATGATGGAGTCATGATGGAGTCCTGATGGAGTCCTGATGGAGTCTTGATTGAGTCCTGATGGAGTCCTGATGGAGTCCTGATGGCATCTTGATTGAGTCCTGATGGAGTCATGATGGACTCATGATGGAGTCATGATGGAGTCCTGATGGAGTCCTGATTGAGTCC